AGTATAGGCCGCGGGGTCACCTTGTAGGAAAACCATTTACTGAAAAGGCATCTTTATTAAATAATAACTAAGGCTTTATTCTTTAAAGTTTTTAATGTGTTTTAATGTGACTGCTAAATGCAGTTTACAAGCTCCTACTGTTATAAAATAAAATGCTATTAACCAGGTGCACTCGAAGTTACAGCTTTTTATGCTTCAGCTAAAAAACAATTATGGAAAAGTCAGCACATAATGAATGGAAAGAATGGTTACAGATTCGTTGATATAGAAAATGCTGCAGGATCGTTCTTTCACGGCGGAGACATTCTCTTGCGATGGACCTGACCCTACACTGGGTACATGGGGACCATTGCTGAAGTAAGGATCTAATGCGTAGGTGTCGAGTCTCACGCTTAAAAGCCCCAGTCCCCATGTGGCTCAGGGTTCAAAAGCTGGTAAAGATTGGTAGATTCCACGAGAGGTACCCCTTTAAATATGCTTTATTCCCACCACCCCCCAAAAATAAGTACATTTTAAAAACATGACCGTGCTGCATACATATAACAAAAACATATGTACAACTTTTATTTTGATTAATAAAACACCTGTACATGTTACATTTTAAAATTCATTTGATAAATGCACACAAACATTTTTGTACAAGTTTGAAAAATAAAACACACGTATACATTTTAAAACCCTTGTGCAACTTTGAAAATAATAAAAAAAAACTTCATGTTATATTAACAAAATCTGCTTTGATAAAGAGCCTACAAAATTTTTGCAACTTTGTTTTAGTAAAATAAAAGCCACGATCATATTAGATTTCAAAACTGATTCGCAAAATGAATGCATAAAACTTTGTACAAACAGGCTTACGCAGCATACACGTAACAAAATGTTTCATTGCCTTTCATTTTAACATGCTTAACCTTCGGCCTATGTTAGCTTTCTCTTCCTGTCTCTTATGTTAGACGGGTCGGTGCCAAGCCGTGTCTTACATCAGCCACAAGAACAATTATTTATCATCCAATTTGTTTCTTACTTCTTGGTTACCTTGTTAGGCTTCCTTATCCATGAAAAGAATGGTTTTAATGTTTTTGGTGTGGTGTTCTGGACCATTCTTTTGACAGCATGCCTCTTGTTTTCAATAAAAAATTATGATAAAATAAACCTCAAGAGAATTATATAAATAAACTGAACTGGTCTTATCTTACCTTACATGTGTGGGGATGCCTTACCTTGATTTTGTTTTAATTTATTTAGTTTAAATAGAGATTCCTGACAATGTCATAAAAGCTTTGATTGAGCAAAGTAAACCGCATCATTTCCATTATTAGCGTTGTTGTTGTCGATTTCATCTAATAAGGCATGAGGTATAGGAGGGGGTGTTGCTCCGTCCATAACTGCTGATTCAGGTCTTGCGTACTGTAGATTTTCTCTTGACCGCTCCGTGCCGTCTCTCTCGTACATAGAAAAAAATAAAGTTATTTTAATGTACAGCGTTTATCACATGTATAAAAGAAATAACATATTCACTCTATGGAGTTTTCTATCCGCACCTTCTCTAGTAGAAAAAAAAAAACTATTATTAGAATTAGTTATTTTTAATGTATAACAGAAATAATATTATACTTGTAGTGTATTAAAAAGGGTTTAACGGAGCGCTACAGCGCCCCCACGGAGGAATGGTTAGCGCGGTGAGCTAAAAAGAAACGGGAGACAAGAAGTGTTTCGTGTGCTATTCAGTATGTTAATAAATATCGTCTTCTTTGTATTACGAGTTTCTGCGAGTCCTTAAATTTCTCTCTTCCTCAATCCCGGATGATGATGCAGCCGCTCGAACACTACAATACTCACTCTGTGCAAGTCGCGTGTAGTTTTCTTTTTTCTTTTTCCAGCGAGGTAAGGCCGTAGATGATCTTTGGGGGGTACATGTGTTTCTTTACCAAAGCAGGAGGAAAAGCGGTACGGTGTCCCGTAATAAAAATATCTGCGGCTGGTTGCGATCCTTTTAGGTTTTTCTTAGGATTCTTTAAGGAGAAATATACAGCCTGTCAGGTTTTTTTAGGATTATCTCATTTTCTTTTAACTCAAATTTGTACTTGTGTGTGGGCGACCAGGGGTGTAAATAACGGTCCTATCAGAAAAACCAAAACTTGGCACAAAATTTACTGGAAGACAAAATGTCCAATTTGATGTGTGGCCCAGTTACAGTTTGACCCGGGGTGACCTACGGTGATGTAATACAACGGCTGCATCAGGAAAAACACAAACTTGTGTAAGTTTGAGGGCTGGGGTGTCAGCTTTCACACACACACACAGACACAGGAACACCCCCCCAAACTGCGGCTGCTAAGCGTTTATTGGACGAGGATAGCGTCAGACCCATTTTCACAGACCCATTGTCCCACAGTCTCATTTTCTCACACACACAGACTCGCGCAGCAGAGCTCTCAGCTCTCCGACGTCGCTCTCCTTTGCAGAATCTCCAAGTACACGCTCCGCCGGACCATTTCGGAAAAACGCTCACACTCCATCAGGTAATAATTATTCAACCCTCGTAGCACGGGGCTGCTCCAAACAAAACCCCAGACCCATTTTGCGGGGAGCGGGTTGGCTATGCGCTCATCCGTGCTCGGCCTCGTGCTCGGCCCCCTCGTATGTTCCCACCAAAAACCCCACTCATAAGCACGCAATTCACTCTCATCAAAAATAAAATAATAATAATATAAACTAAATAAATTTAAATAAATAAAATAATAAATAAATAAAAATAATTAAATAATAAATAAAATAATTTTTTAAAATAATAAGACTAAAACTATTCTCCCAACGTCACTAGTCGTGACGTCACATCGTACCACCCTAACCACGCCCAAACCCCGCCCCCACCCAAGTGACCTTTTGACCTGTGACCTTTTTGACCTTTAGGTCATAAATGTTTTTGAAAGAAGTGGTATTCTCCCTCTCTGTAAGGCTCTGGGGGTGGATGAGATTTGCCCTGAGTTCTTGGAAGCTCTTGATGGTGTTGAGCTGTCTTGGCTGACACGACCTTCAACATTTCATGGATGTCGGGGACAGTGCCTTTGGATTGGCAGACTGGAGTGGTGCTTCCAATCTTTAAGATAGGGGACCACAGGATGTGTCCCAACTTCAGCATCCCTCTTAAGATGTATGCCAGGGCACCGGAGAGGAGGGTCCGTCAGTTGGTTATATAATCCAGGAGGAACAATGTGGATTCCATCCTGGCTGCAGAACAGTGGACCAGCTGTATACAATCACAAGGATACTGGAGGGTTCATGGGAGTTTGCCCATCCATACATTGTTTTGTGGACTTGGAAAAGGCATATGACTGTGTCCCTCAGGGGGTCCTATGGGGGTACTATGGGAGTAAGGGGTATGGCGTTTGTTGTTGCAGGTCCATCTGGTCCCTGTAAAACCGGAGCGAGAGCTTGGTCTACATTACCAGCAGTAAGTCTAACTAGTTAGACTAGTTAGGGCATCCCTTTGTCACCAACATATCCTTTTATTAAAATCTCCAGTAATGAAGAACTTTTATCTGGGACCATTTTATTTGATCATTCCCAGACCCAGAGATCGAATTTATCGACGGCATCGACGGCAAAAGC